TAAAGTGGTGTGACGCAGTACAGGACACCAACTGGGCATCCCACAAGTTAATTCAGTTCTGATGCTAGCTACCTAGAGTTCGCACAGACCCCACAGGTTAAGGGCTCGGTTCCACAAGACTTTTCCCATTTCAGATGCCAATTGCAAATCTAGGTCTCCCGTACTTCTGACTGACCAGCTGTAAGTCAGGGGTTCACGCCCTCTTTAGGTTCAATAATTAGCTAGAATGGCTCACATAACTCAGGAAAACTCTTTACTGGTGATTACCAGTTTATTATAAAGGATACAAATGAATAGCCAGATGAAAAGGTACACAGGGCGCTGTCTGGAAGGGTCCCAAGCACCAGAGCATCGTTCCCGTGGAGTTGGGGTACACCACCCTCCCGGCACATGGATGTGTTCATCAAACTGGAAGGTCTGAATCCCATTGATTAGGGTTTTTATGGAGGCACCATTATGTACATGTGACTGATTTAAATCGTGGGCTATTGGTAATTAGCTCAGTCTCCAGTCCCCGCCCAGGTGTGTGCTCATGAAAGTTCCAACCCTCTAAACCACTTGGTTGTTTCCACTAATATAGCCAGCCTTCCATCCTGAAGCTATCGAAGGGCCCAGGAAGAGTTGCCTCATTAGTACAAGCTCTGGTATGATTGAAAAAGAGCATCAGTAACGAAATTCTCTCCTGTTAACCTCTATCACTCTGGAAATTCCAGACGCTCTTGCATCAGACCAAATTTCATATATATATATAGAGAGAGATACACACACACACACACACACACACACATATATATATAGTAATGGCAAAAACCACAATTGCTTTTGCACCAACCTAATATGATTTTTTTCTTTTTTCCCGGTCATGTTTTTCTTGGAGACAGCCTCCCAAGTAGCTGGAACTGCAGGTTTGTGGCTAATTAAAGGAAAAAATTTTTGTAAGAGATGGGGTCTTGCTGTGTTGCCCAGGCTGATCTCAAACTCCTGGGTTCAAGCAATCTTCTCACCTTGATCTCCCAAAGCTCTGGGATTAAAGGTGTGAACCACTGCACTGGGCCTTGTTTAAAAAAATATATATATATATATGTGTGTGTGTGTGTATGTATGTATGTGTATATAAAATATACATTAGATAGAGCTTGTCTATATATACACGTTTATATATAAATATATACACAT